CAGCACCTCTCAAACGTGCTGCAATGTGCATTTAAGCAAGACCCCAGACCCACAAGGCCATCATTCCTGAATCCACCTGGGCCCTTGGGCCAGAACCAGGTCCATCCTGGAGGAGTCAGGGCTCCCGGGAGCTGCTATGGACTCCTGGCCTCCAAGGGAGCGAGGTGGCTGCTGGCTGCGAGCGCTTCCTCCCGCCTGCTCTTTGGGCTGTGGTGGCCTCCAAAAAACCAGGCCCATGGTGGCCTCCAAAAAAACAGACCCGTGGTGGCCTCCAGAGGACCAGACTAGTGGTGGCCACCCAAACACCAGACCCATGGTGGCCTCCAAACGATCAGACCCGTAATGGCCTCCCAAAGACCAGACCCGTGGTGGCCCCTTAGTAGCTGTGTAGCAAGAGATGGGTGCATCCATCACAAGCGAGAATGGACCCACATCAGTGCCTTGGCTCTGAACTGGGTGTCCCCAACCCAAGAGGGTCCAGATGGACCCCAACATTCCACCAAGCTGCGGACGGGAGGTGACGTGCGGCCTTGCAGGAGGCTGCGCGCGCGTCCCGTCCCCAACGGCGTCTGCGGGCACCGGCCCTCGGTGCCGGCCCCGGCGCGCGGCCGGCGTCGTTGCCGTCCCGTTTGGCGTCCCCGCAGCAGCGCGTTCAGTGCAGCCGCTTGTCCTACAGAGGGCAGAGGAATATCATTAATTACTGCTTCCCGCAGCAGCCGCGTGCATCGCTCCCGCTGCACGTGGGGCTCTGCTCCGTCCTGGAGGTGCCGAGGCACAGGAAGGCTGAAAAGAGCCGGGGGAAAAGCATCCCGCCCCGTTTTCCTTCTCAAAACCCGTCCCGACTCTCCCTATAAAATTGTGTTACACTGTATGTTATAAAGGTAATTTACAACCAAATTTGTATTTAAACAAGCGCTAATGTTTACTGAAAATGCACATTTCCATTGCAGACAAAACCCTTGGATTTTATGCTGCCATTTTCAATCCTCTTTCAACTTTGGGAGAATAAAAAAAGCAAATTTCTTATTGCAAATGGCATGTCTGAGCGCTATAACATTCTGCATTGTATACTACTTTGGCTTGCCATTGCTGCAGCAACACAGAATTCAGCACTGCTACCGCGTTTGTTACTAAGACATAATTTTATAAAAAAGCACATGCATATAGTTCTTCCCTGACTTTGCTTCTATTTTTTTTTTCTTTATGGTTAGGAGGCTTTGTTTGTTTGTTTGTTTCCAGAATAAAATATGCCATAATAAAGGAAGGGAGGAGCCTGGAGAAATAAGTCTACAGAGAATTAAGGAGCAGAAGCAGGTGCGTACCCGACCGGTTGGTTGGAAGTACTCAGCCCACCAAAGCACTGCCAACAGCCCCGTGCGTAGCTGCCTTTTCAAACTCTGCACTCCGCAGAGTGAAAAAGGGATGTTTTCTGTCCTAACCTAACAAATAATAAATAGTCCCATCAATAAAGTGAGAGGGGCTTTTAGAGATGGTTATATAGAGTGTACCCAATATAATTTATAAAAAATACACAGCGAGTTGCACGAGTATTTTTCAGGAAAAAATCAGCTTCCTGAAGTCAAGAGAATTTTTGTCACTCACTTGAGCGAGATCAGAATCTCCCCATTGAGATTAATGGGACTATTGTTCGATATAAATCTCCAATCCAGCAATGCATTAAAATTCTTGTACAACTGCAAACATGAGGGGTCCTGTCAAAGCTTATGGACCTGTTTTTCTACCCTGCATCAGTCATTTACATCAGTGCAAAACAAATGTGAGCAGATGAACATCGCGTGCCCGTGCGCAGCTGTGACAGGCAGCATGTGGCCACAGCCAAAACGGAGCCGGGGGGCCTGTTTGTGCCCCAAAAATGCCCCAATTTTGGGTAGCAAGAGCCACGGCCCTCGGCAGGCGGGCGCACGCGGCCGTTGCTCCGCAGTGCCTTTTCTTTAGGGGATTGAGTCCATAAAACAACATCAAACAGAAACCCACAGTATCAAAGTCATGGATGGTTAAAATATTTTTACCAGCACAACCTCCCTCTTTACCATTTGCTCTTTCTCTTGTGCCTTTTACTTAGCAGATAATTAAATCAGACTCACAGACTTGGTTTTAATTTCTGGTTCGTATGCCCTCAAACCATGCTGCTGTGGTTTGGCCTCCTAACCGTGCAGGGGAGTATTTGTATAAAAATCATATCAATACATTTTAATTTAATTTTTAAGACAATCGTGAAAGCCTTTTTATGAGTGAGTTCCATAAAACCCGCTGCCTGTTTATAAAATGCAAGCACAAGTCATCAAAATAACTGGCATAATTTCCTTGGCATTTTGCTTCTTAATTTTTCTTTTTATTTACATGCATATTTGGTAGAATTAAAATAACACCCTAGACATGTAATAGATGAACAAGCAAGTTTTGAATAGCCTGTGTTATAGATATAAAAAAATCTTTTAATTTCTCATACTCGGTTTCCTCTGCTGCTATGACGCATTCGTGGAGCTTGTCATGTTTTAGGGAGCTGCCAGATTGGACGGCGGCTTCAGCAACGAGAGACCGTCTCAGACCTGTGTGCCTGCATAATTACGTATTATTAATAACGCACGTTTTTTTCCGGAGCGTCTCTTTACCCAAGCAGGGAACCCAAACGCGCGTTGCAAACGCAGAGCCACGCGGGGTGATTTACGGCGCGGCGGGGACGAGTCCCGCGAGCCGCCGCGGCCGGACCGGCATTAACCACCGCAGAGCCTGACCCGCACATGGAGCGAGCGGAGCGCGCCGGCCAAAAACACCTGCAGCCCGGGCGCAGCGTGGCTTTTCTTTTCATTTTTTTTTTCCAGCATTTTGGCTAGGGAATGCCGTTTCACCAAGGCAATCTTTTTCATTTTAGTTGGATTATTTCATTTCTTTTTATTATTTTTAATCAGCAACACAATTTCTCAATAAAAAAAGGGAAGGGGAAGAGAAAGAAAATGAGGGGAAGCAGAAAAGCCAATACACTGAAACCCTTTCCCTGTGACCAAAAAAAAAAAAAAAAGTATAACAGGAAAGGTAGATGTATATATATTTTAAAAATCTTATAAATTTATATTAATATTTTCCTCCATATTTGTAGTTACTTAAGTACTTCTGATATCCCATCACTCATTCCAAAACACATCTCAATTGATTTCAAGACTTAACCATTGTCCCTACAGCTAAAAATACAATGTTTCTATTTCATATGAATAAGTGCAGGGCCTGAAGATGCTTTTAGCAGACAGCAGCTTTAAAGGCCACCCAGAGACAAGTCAAAGATGAGGAGAAAACCCCCTCAGCGAGAGGAGAGCACAGGCTGTTTGTGCTGGCGAGGAGCCCTCGGCGCAGAGCCCGGCGCGCGGCGGAGCGCGCGCACCTCTCCTTGGGATGCGCCACACAACCGGCCACGGGAATTTCATCGTACGGATCCCTCTCCCCTCCAGCGCAGCACCTACGCGCGTGTTGAATTCCCTGCAAGTCGCAGAGGATGTTTTCCAGGTTATATGCGAGCACATCTATAGGACGTGGGTTGCGCTACTATTCCCATGCCGTATGCAGGCCGCTCAACGGAATCGCAGGGACCCACGCTGCAAATGCGGGCTTGCAGATTAACAGCGTGAACCACGTCCTGCAAACAGCACGAGATGCTGTCAGCCCCGGTCCCAGCCTCCTCCTGCAGCAGGCAGGCTCGGAGCAACCCCAGTCAGGCCAAAGTCCTCGTTCTTAGGGCTGCCAAACGCTCCCCAACGCCCGCACCAAAGAAAACTGGGAGCTGCTCCCGGCTCCGAAGGCAGCCTGTGCCAGCAGACTTTGGCGACGGCCGTTGCGCGCCGCTCCCCAAGGGGCATTATGCACGGGGCCGCGAGATGCGCGCGGAGAAATGGCGATTGATATGCATAATAAAGACAACTGCACGCCTGTCCTGCCGGGACGCCACGCACAAACGGCACCGCGCCGCGGAAAAATCCCCCGGCCAGAGAGCGTCCTGCCTTCTTGTGATGCCGGTTACAGTCATTGCAAACACAAAGAAATTCTAATAATTTCAGCTAACTTGCAAGGCCACAACTACTCTCCAATTTTTGTATTAAGTTGCTGTGTTTAGTGAAAGAAAAACTCTCCAGGCAACAACAAACTCAGCTTTGTAAGCAGGACCCCATGGTGTATAACTGCAAACACTACAAATACTGCTCAAAAAGGAGCACGGAAGAAAGAGCAATCCCAAAAGGATCTATAATTAAAGTAGGTTGAAATCTTTTTTAAACGGCCCCATTAATTTCACTTAGACCTTCATGAATATTTTGCAGTTGCAAGAAATCCTGAGAACCTCAGTACCGAGGCAGGCACAAATAAAAGACTTTCCAAATCCCTTCCTAATCTACCTGGCAAACGTCAGCTCTGCCATCCTGCGCCTGCTAATTTCGTGTTCACAGCTGCGCGGCACCGTCGGAATTTAAGGATACATAGCAATGGCCTATCTTAATATATCCAAGTGTTCATACTAGCCTATATACAAGGGCAGTAACAGAAAGGGAGATTGCAATTTTATATATATAATATTGCAAGAACATGCAAAGCTTAAATAAAGCACTGTTGCTCAGGGAGAAATTCCAGACTATGACAAAAGGAATTTTTCCTGAGAGGACACTGCAATATCTGCCACTTCCTAGAATGGCAAAAGTATGTAAATCACCACTGATATTTTTAAATTATATTTATTTATAGATTTGTATCATGTACCCACCACTCAGCATCTGGGTACACATACACATATTAAAATAATATACATCATTTGTCTACAAATCAACAGTTAAGTACATTCTTGGGATACAGATCTTTGCAAATCCCCAAGCAAAGGCCTGAGCAAACAGATAATGGAGGCGGCTGCAGGCGGGAGGGCCGCGCGGAGGAGCGCGTCGCGCCGGTGCGCAGTCCATTCGTGCCCAAAGCGCCGCCGCTCGGCATTTTAAAGACACTTGGACTATCCTTAAAAACATCTCCTTCATATAGGTTAGCTTAATGCAATACTCACAATATTTTCCTCGTGCTTTTTCTCTCAGTTAGCGATAATTGGTGTTAAACACGGGCTTTGCGGGGTCGCCTCATGGGCCAGGAGCGGCGCTCCGGGCTAAGCCCGCGGCCGGAGCGCGGGCCCGGGCACGCGGTTCCGCCCGCGCGAGGCCCAGGGCACCGGGAGCACCGTCACGGAAGGGAAAAATAATAAAAAAGAAAATCAAATGAGATAAATACTTCTAAAAACACATCTGAAAATTCATTGCACGTGGGTATGGCTGCATACGCGTCACGTCGCTTTTTCTGCTCTTAAAAAATAATATGCACACGTGGAACGGATCGCGCATTTCGGGAGGGCCTTCTCCTGCAGACCCCCCTCAGCCGAGCGACGCTCCGGGAGGCAGGGAAACGCTCTTGGAAACGCTCTTGTAAACACGGACTTACGGGATGCCGAGGCCACAGGGATTTCAAAGGAGTTTTGCCAGTGCAAGTGTTGCAGGATAAAAAAGGCGGCGGCTCCGGCGCGGCCGAGCCCCGTGGGGCGAGCGGCGTCTTCGGGAAAACAAAAATAAACAGCAATAACACGGGCTGCCCCGCGCTCTGTTATAAAGCAGCGACCTAGACCCAGCCAGATCACACCTCTGCATAAACAAACACGGAATAAACTGTTCAAACAACGCCGTACGAAACCAACAAAAACAAAAAAGCAACAACAAAAAAAGAGGAAACGGTTGGCAGGCGTGATTTGTACAAATAACACCTATCTGGCGAAACTCTCATTGAAAATAATTGATTCAACAAAGAAACAGCAGCACAGACCAGAAGCACAAATAGCAGTGTTTATAAATAGCATTGGCCCAAGTAAGTAAAAGTTTATAATAATTAGACCACCCCTTACTTTGCGTATATAAATGCAAAACAGAGCAAAAATCCCATACCAACAATATAAAAGATAAATGAGTTAGACACGGAGCCCATGAGTTTTAAGAAGTCTCCCCTGTATTTAATAAAGCATGATTTTTTATTTTCATTTTTTTAGAAACACTAACAGATCCCTTGCAGATAGTTTTTATCTTTATATTATTATATAAGACATTTTGTGTTTAAAGTGAACTATTGCTCAATCTAGATGGCCCCTCTGCCGGGCATATAAACTAAACTGCGAACAAAATAAGAAATCATCACTGGAAATTACAAATCATACAGTTTTAAAGCATTTTGATTTTTTCCCTCAACTCGAAGAAATAAATAATCGAATCACTGAGAATGCAGAAATCTCTGTTCTACAGCAAATTTCTGTGCCTACTTCAAATGAAAAAAAAAAAAAAAACAGCCAGAGTCAAAACTGCTTGAGAGATAGGGGAAAATATGCAGTTATAGTTCATGCTGTTCTATTATCTCAGCAGGTGGAAAATGTTTAAATTAGTGATTTTTTAAACCTGAAATAATTCTTTACTTCTAATACGAGTCAAAGTCATTTTTGGAATCAGAAAGATTTTTGCCTTTGAATGTTCAGGATGCTGCAAATAATTTATAATGAAAACATTCACTCTGTAATTGCACAAGGGTTCAGAATTTTTTTTTCATTATCCTCCAATAAATTAGTATCTAGTGCAAAGAAAAATATTCTTTCCCACTGCCCTCCATAGAACTTCATATAAACCAAATTCCATAAAACAATGGTACCAGCTCTGAAAAAAGGATCAGAATTACTGTCAATACTTTCACAACACTGAGGTTATGTTGTCTTCCAAACCATTCAATTTTAAAAAAAAAAACTTTAGAGAATTATTTTCACTACAAATGGATCAGTTTTAAACCACATATTTGTGTGTTTCTGACATTCAAAATACATTTCTGTTTATAAATAAAATGACCGTTTTGAATATGTTTTATCATGGCCCTAGAATAAGCTTGCATATTTAATAATTTGATCAGTTTCCAATTCTGTAATTTAATGTAATGATTAAATTATTATGTCTACTTTATCAGTTGAGTCTGCCAATGTAAAAAAAAAAAAAAAAGCTGAAACTACAGATAACTGCTATCTGCATTGACAACAGGGTTTAGACTTCTACCAAAGCAAAATAGATATACAGTCTCAATATAGTGGATAATTTTTTTTCAGGGCTATTTTACTCAAGAGAATCCATTTAAAATTGCTTAAAACATCAAATGAAACACAAGTTATCTAAACATCAGATTTTCTAATTTTATTAAAAATGCACAAATTTTATCCAACATGTTTTCTTTCATACAGTGAATGGTCTAATATGCACTGGAGGTCACACAAGCTTAGGTTTATTAGAACAATAAAAGACATATGAGAAATTTAATATATAAAGAAAAAGTAGCAGCTGTTGACTGCATATTTGACCATAAAATTTAAATATTTTGGACTTTTATTTTAAAGACACAAAAATAAAACCTGTGTGGGTCTATATAAGTCATATTAACAATTCCATTAATGTTCAACAGGACTAAAAATTAGCAAAGATGTTTTGTTTGTTTTTTTTTTAACCTTGTAACACTTTTTAAACACTTTCTTGGGTTGCTGGTGCAAAGCACCTTACAGTATTTGTGCTATATATTTACTTTATTTGGCAACTGTCTGGGTTTCATGTTTTTTCTTTGCCTTCTGTAAACAACACCTTTTACAAACTAGCACAGTGAACCACAAGCCCTGCAATCTGTTATAACATCTACAGAAAAGAAAATGAACTATTTTGGTTGGTTGCTCAAAATATTTTGCTTTTGAACAAGAGGTTCTAAAACAGGATTTATTAGTAAAACATTGAACTCCTGAATTTAACATTAGACGTAAACAGTTGACTGTTTTTAGTTCAATAGAGTCTTTTTGTTTAGCTTTTCTCTCTCTGTGAAGGTAGAATACTTTGTGTTTGCTTGCTTTTTTCAAGTCATTGCGTTAGAGGTCTGGTTGGTGACCTTTGCTAGGATGAGGAGGTTTTGTATGTGTAGCTTTGTGAAGGTAGAAGAGTTGGTGCTGAGGGCTTAACATTTAGTATTTGCTATTTTGGAAAACAAAAACAAAAACAAAAAAAAAGGAAAAAGAAAGTTGTCCCACCTGATATTCAGCAGGCTGAAATGGCTGAAGCTAAAAAGAGTTTCTTCTTGTTGAACTTTCTCAGAGACATAAATTAGCAAACAAATTCATAATGCCAGAACCATCCTTAACCGGGAACGCTAGAGTTCTTGAAGCTTTTTCTCCCTTTTCTTTGACCTTTCCTTCAATTCTTAAATCTTTAAATGAGAAGTTTCTAAGGATTGTGGCTCTTAGGATGACATCCACCAGGGCGCTCAAGCCTACGCCATCCTAGGGCATGGCGGCACGTTACTGTACAGCTTCACCAGGTCCTTTGTCAACGGTACAAAAGGTCCCCTTGTCTGTCTGTCCGTTACAACCACCAGGTGACGATTGTCCTGGTCTCTAGCACAGCTTGCCTTGCAGTGATCTGGGTTCAGTTCGTTCCCAAGGGAAGAGTGTCTTAGGGCGGGAGATGGTCTACGTGTTCGTTTCTGTACACCGTAACACCGAGCAGACTAGATGAGCATCACTTACTTAGACCCAGTTTGTTTTAAAGCTACCACACAGCCGCTTCGTTCATTTCTGGTGGATGTGACAAGTGATTGCCGTAGTTAGCACCACCGTTGACGGATATCGAAGAAAACGGAGGACTGGGGCCGAAGACCTCTGCGGACATGGAGTGCAAGGACCCGGGCAGGTTGGGTTCGGGGCTGGGCGAGTCCCCCGGCGGGTGCGACATGATGTCAGTGAAGCGCTGAGCCTCACTGGAGGGGTGATGTCCGGGCAGGGGGTGATCCATGGCCCCCAGCGGGGTGCCTGACGGCCCCGAGGAGGGCACGAAGGGGAGATCCACCGGCGTCTGCGCTTGAGACGAGGGAGGTCCTTGCGGGAAGAAATCGTAATTGCTTCCAGGGCCGTAATACTCGCTCTGATAATCTGGCGGGCAAGGAGACACAGCGGGAGCGTAAGGCACGGGCAGGGCGAGCGGGCGC